ACACCCAAAACTTCAGCTTTATAAACCCCTTTACAATGGCTAATTTACATTATCAACTCAGTTATGATTTCATAGGGTGCTGAAAAGGAGAATGAATTTTTTTAACAATTATTGGTAGCTACCTTAGTGGTGATCATTTCCTATATTCTCCTAACCTTACTGTTTGATTTAGGAGTGATGTTGAAAGGAGAAATTAAATGCCAATCACTCAAAGTTGACTTATGATGGATTTTGTCATTCTTACCCTTGCACTGCGCAGATACACACCAGCTCCTTTACTCTCTGGAAACTTGACTCCTGATGGTTCAGCCTAGGAAAATTAACAACATGATACATGTGGATAGATGTCTTTCATCACGTTTTTAGTGTAACTGGGTCTCCCTTGTGCAAAGAAATACAAAAGGGAAGCTCTGAATTGACCTAAGATGCCTTGAGAGGCACAGCGAATGGTGGAGGCACCCTTTAATAATCGTCAGAACAAAAATAAGCAAAACATAAACAAAGGAAAAATGCTCACTAAAAAATAATAAACCAAGCTGGAACGAGGCTTTATTTTGAGTGGCCAAGAATTTCAATTCTCCATTTAAAAATGGAGAATTACATATACATACAGTACATGAAAAAAGACTACATTTTACTTGCTGCAAAAACAGTGACTTAAATCCTTTCATAAATCTTTTTACCTTGACTGGTTTGTCGCCTAGTTCCCCCTTCTTCTTAGTTTGCTTCTTTTTAACTTGTTTCTTGTCTCTCCTGGTGAAGAAAATAATAAGATGAATCACACTATACTTTGAAAGTCTCCATTGTCAACTGTTTCATGTCAGCCTGAGTGAAAGAGAGGTTCCACATTCAGTCATAACTGTTGATCAATCTTTACCAGTTTAATTTTCTAGCAAGAACAAAGTAAATTGTAAGTTCTCATTGCTACAGTAAAACTGAGAAATATTTTAGCACCCAATGAGAGTAAACAGGCCAGATGGGCACTTATACACTTACTTCAGTCTGTATGAGTCTGTTTGATTCTCAGCAGCTGTGATGAGTTTCTGTAAATCCTGCTGTTTCTTTTCCCTCTCTTTCTTACGCATTTCAATTTTTCTCAATTCTGCCACAAGCATTTCTTCCTCTTGTACCTGAAAAGATTAAGTTCAGAAGATAATACAAAATAAGTCTGAAAACTTCAATAAAAAAACTCTCCTCAGTTCCTTGATTTAAACCTTTTAACTCCAACAATACCAATTATCAATAGAATATCAAGCAGACAAGTGATGGAAATTCAGAAAAATATCAATAAGGGGATTCTTGGTTGATCCAATACAGTAAGGAGAGTTAGAAATAAGATCCAAGATCATTTCTTCCTATTGCACCTTAAACTTTTAACTCCCAAGGGTGACCAAGACAGAATTTCTCCCTACAATATCAATACAATATCAAGCAGAAAAGTGATGAGAAAAAAGAAAAATATCAATCAAGAGATTATTAGTTGATCCAGTAACAAATTCTCCAAACTAACATCACAAGAACCGCATGGAAGACAATAAGGAGAATTACAAATGAGATCTTAGGAGTTAGAGAGTTAAAAGATTAAGTGAAGGAGATTATACAAAACAAGTCTGATAACTCCAAAAAAAAAAACTCTTCTCAGTTCCATCATTAACCCTTACACACCCATGAGTTATCAGAAATTCTCCTTACAGCACTTTATCAATTCAATATCAAGCAGAAAAGAATTTCAAAAAATATCAATTAGAGTATTAATTGATCCAATACCAAATTCACTAAACTACAAGCTAAAGAATTTTTAAAGCAGACAGTAAGGAGAATTGCTAATAAGATCCTAAAAGTGTGCACGCCTGTCTTTTTTTTCTTAAGGTACTGTTGTTACACAAAGCTCAATCATTCTTACATGTACCAAAGTTCATAGGCAGAGGCCTGTACCTGTTCTTGTGTGCGGTTAAACAACTTCAAAAGCTGTTTCTTTCTCTCTGTTTCATGCTGACCATCATAACGTGCTGGCAAGTTCTGTGGTTCTTGTCCAGGGGGGGCTCTAGCCTGTGGAAAACAAAATTTTTTTTGCACCATTGTGACCAGACAACTTAAATCTTTCTTTCTTTCTTTCTTTCATGACCAGGCTTAATATTTACCATCTGTGTTATTTCAATTAATAAGTGTTTCATTCCTGAATTCAATGCAACTTCAATTACATTCACCCTTGACAACCTACACATAACAATGGCGTTCATGTTCCCCGCACTGTTTCATCAATATTTCCTAAGGCACTGACAAGAAGAATTTGTTTGACAATCAAGAGCATCTTAAATTAGTTATCATTTTTTCTCATAACCTTAAAGCTTAATTCAAGGATGACACTGTAAGGAGAAATTAGAAACCAATCACTTTTAGCGGTTAAATGGTAACAAAAGGGCCTTAGTCAGTTTTAAAAGGAAACCTTGTTTAGAAATCATTCATTAAAAAAAAAAAAAATTGTTCTGAAGCATTCAAATCAATTGCAGAAATCTATAGAAAGGCAGGATTAAATGACAAGTGAATTCTTAAAAAAGGTATATATTTAATTTAATAATTAATATCGCTTGAATCATATGTCAGCCAGTGTAGATTGTAAGGAACCTACATATCTAGCTTGTAAGGCAAAGCCAACGAGGGTAAACCCTTTAACCCCAAAGAGCATTTATTTTCTCCTTAAAATATCACCCTTGAATCACACATAAAGGTCATTGGAATAAAACTAGTAATAATTAAAGATTAGTAAAGTGTGTGCAATCTCTAGTAAGAGATTTTTTAATGTACTGATTGCGCAGAAAAAAAATTGGTGTTTTCAGCTCAAGGCGGCCAAGAAAACATTTGCACATGAGATCGAAGCTATTTGAGCCACACAGCCAGCCAGTCCTAAATGGTGCCCAATGCCTGAAATCGCATGGCATCACAATTGATCCCCTAGGGACTGGTCCATAAAACCCTCGAGAGTGATTTCCCTAAAAACAACACAATTAGCATGCCTTCTCCTTCATTGAATGCAATAAATGATCACCAACTAAGGAAGCTCTTGATTGTGAGACAAATTCTCCTTGAAAGCATCTTGAAATTTGTTCAGAGAACAGTATAGAGAATATGCACATTGACCTTGGGTGTAAAGAGTTTAAGTGAGGTGGAGAGAAGATGCACTGTAGGATATCTTACTGACATAGCAACAGCATTCAACCTTTAAGACAAGCAGCTATTTAACATACCTTGAGTAACCTTGTAACACAGCTATAATAGCGATCCTTTAACTCTTCAATGGTGCGAGTCTACAACAACACAAACAATCAGTAAACTCTTAATGGTAAATAGCATAACATTGTTCATATAAAGTGTTCAGTTAATTTGTTTAAAGTTTTTCAAGAGATGAGAAACAAAGAAACAAAAGCCCACACTTTATGCTACAAAAAAAATTCACAATTTTAAAAATAAAAATTGAAAATTGAAAAAAAAGGAAACTTTAATTTGTATTCTCATCCAAGATTGGCCAGAAAAAAACCCACACATGTAAATATTATGCGATTTCTTCTGATTACCTGATACTTTTCTCTGTCAAACCTATCATGAATTGTTATAAATCGTAGATCAAACCGCCTGCAAAGAAAACAGGAGCATAAATATGATTTGTACTACTGTACGTGTATTCAAAGACAACATCAAAATGTGATGACAACATCAAAATGTGATGAGAACAACAAACTGGCATACATGGGGCAGCAAAGTGTGTCAATGCTTTTTACCACATTTTTGATGTCTACAGTGATCAACAGTAACTGTACAAACACATGGCAAAATGTAATCTCTTTGTTTTGTATATGTGATCCAATGGCCCCAAGGGTAATTCACCCTTTACACCCAAACATCAGTATCCAGATTCTCCATACTCTTCTCTATATATTTCTTTTGGTACTGACAAGGAGAATTTATTTGAAGATCAAAGCTTCTTGTGTTGGTGATCATTTCCTTTATTCTCATGATCTTAATGAATGATTTAGCCATATTACTGTAAGGAGAAATTAGATGTTGGTCACTCTTAGGGTCTAAAGAGTTAAGGAATACATTTCACATAAATTGTATAGAAGTAACAAGGGCAATTTTGGAAAAACTTTGAAAATACAAGTGAAATTAACCCTTAATTGCCCGAGAGCACTTGCAAATAATTTTTTCATTGTATTAACAACAACATTTTGAGGGAATTGCATTTGGGCCCAATGTCCACATGATATAACCCTTTCAGTGCCGCCAGAAATAGCAAAACTTATCACTGATGTGATACAAGAGGAAGTGTCTCAGTTTTGTATTGTTCTCAGGCCTGACTTATGAAAATGGTTTTACATGTCTATTACCTGCACAGGTCAAACAAGTGATCAGTTTCATCTCGTGTCCAGGTAGAAGGAGGTCCATCATGAAGGTACAGCTGTAAAGAAGAAATTAAACAAACAATTATAATAATCCAGTACACATTTTTACATAATCACGATTTGCCTAAAAACTTTAAACAGTATGTCTCAGACAACCACAATAACTAAATGCAAGGCCTTTCATCATGTTTTATGCCTAGTCTAAAAGACACACTAGGCTACATTTTACAGTTGTACCTCATATTTTCTGATATACACACTCTCCCCAGATTCCTAAAACTGTGCTGATACAATAAAATTTGCATATTGGACCTCACATATTGCAACTTAATCCTCTGCTTCACACATCCATGTGGTAAAAAGGAGATAGTTGCTATTAAGCCAATTTTATACTTCTTTTTGTATACATTTTTTTCTTTTTGCAAAACACAGTGAATAACTACATTCATTTGTATTATTTACCCAAACTGGTAATAACAACAAGCCTCACAAACAATAAAATTGACCCCCTTTTTTTACAAATTTGTAAATGTACATATAATTTTGATAGAGATTACCTGGTACTCTTCATCTGTATAGCTTGGAACATTCACCTTCTGCTCGTTTTAAAGAATAAACAAAGTATTTTAACATTTAATATTTAAAAAAATATTTAGAGAAAAACATTGTCTCTAGATGTCAACATAATGATTATAATCCACCCTATAATTTTTGCGGGATTCTATTGGCTACATTACATCATGTGGTGCAAAATCACCAGACAATTATCACACAATGCCCCCTGTTTTAACAACGATATTTGACCACCAATTATTTTCTTAAAAAAGAAACAAAGCCAGCAGTAAAAAGCAAGCTCAATAGTTTCAGTTTTTCATTTTTATTTCTTTACATAGAAGAAAAAACAAATATGTTGGCATAGCCAAGTGATAATGACATAAAAAAGCCGATCTTTAATGCTGCTCTGGAAAGTACAAAACAGTCAACAAAATTTGTTAAAGCACAGTACGAAAATTAATGGGAGGGTTATATAAAAAAAAAAATCCCCCTGTGCCTTGATGTTACGTCAGTGGATCATACTGTTTTCTAAAAGATCTCTCTCAAAATTTTACATTTTCCCTTGAAGAGTTGCTTCTCATCCAAATATTAATTTTTATGAAAATCTCTCAGAAGCAGGCATTATCAGACATAGATGGCATTAAAAATTGGTGTAAATGTATAAAATAATCAACAGTGTCATTAAGAAAAAAGAAAAAATCCTTTAGACCACATATCTTTATCACACATGTACTGTACAAATATGATCTTGTCTGAACAAAAATGTGCAAAAAAAAAAACACACTCAGAAAGTAAACTTGCAACCTTAGAACAACTCAATCAAAATTCCTGACTTTTCAGAGACAATTCCTACCAATAAAACCTCACCTTATTAAACCTGGCAAATGGATATTCTTTTCCTTCATCAGCCACCCTTCTCCAATGGTAAAGTACTGCTCCATCTGTGCGAGCAGGGTTAGTGAAAGGCACCCACTTCCATGGCCTCACATGCCTACGTCCTAACTTGGCTTTCATCTGCTTATAGCCATGAGAAGTGTCTGATGAAGCCAGTGGTGGAGAGTCTCTAAATAATTACAAAACAAAATATTTAACAATGGTATTAGGACTGAGTGGAGTCCAATTCAGTCTGTAATCATAGAGTGATTAACAACATTGTATGACTGCAAAGTGGGAGTCTGATTTGTTAATCACAAGCACAGTTCTGCTTGCGTAATCTCAGTAAGACAGAGTAAAGATTTAACATTCTTAATCCACACCATGTCAACCAACACTTTTCATTAAACTAATTTAATCCTGCTTTTCACCTTAGCATGTTCTCACCAATGGCATTCACCTACAGTGTTGCTCCATGTTTCTGCTTATAAACAACATATAACCCACAATTCCTCCATTCACTCTAACTAGGGGCTAATGCTTGAAACAATTCAGCTTTAACAAAATCTTTACAGTGGCCAATTTACATAATCAACTCAGTTGATAAAACAAAATTACCTTTCAGCCAAGATATGGTTTTTCACATTATGAACACCGTTCTTCATTGAAATTCATTAGAATACATGTATCTATGGCAACATACTTTCAATTATTACAATAGAGATGTATTTCATACTATAACTCCATCAAAACAAATTTCCACTGACCTACTATCACTGTATAGCAAGGCATAAAGTTCACGATGCATTCCCTCTGGACGTTTGTAACTTTGCTCTCCAGTTCTTCTCAGTTTTCTTGGCTGCATCACCGTTAAAATACAGAAGAAGAAAGCACCATGTTTAAAATTCACCATCCTCTTTAACATGTACATGATAAACATTGAACATCATCATTGCACATAAGCATCCCATACTGACATTCTTATCCTTGCAGCATGCAGGAAGTGTGTCATCATGGACCTAAACTACAGTAGAACCCTTTAACTCCCAAGATCTCATTAGTAATTCTCCTCACTGTCCATCACACAATTCATATGATGTTAGTTTGGAGAACTTGGAATTGAATTAACCAATAATCCCCTTATTGATATTTTTCTATATTCTCATCACTTGTCTGCTTGATGTTATACTGATAGTGTAAGGAGAAATTCTGTCTTGGTCACTCCTTTAGCTCAGTGGTAAAGCATTCAAAGAACTAAATTGGGAAGGTTGTACATTGTGAGTACTCGGAGT